TCAAATCCCTAAACCTATCCTGAATCCCTAAGCCTATCCCTGAAGGGGAGGGGGTGTTTCTTCAGCCACTATCACAGACTCACCTTTGGCTCACTTCAGCTGTTAAGTATTTAAAAAATTATTTTAACACTGTTGTTTTGTCTTATTATTTCTCTCTCTCACAAGGTCAGTTCTTTATCTTTATTTCTTGTTACTCTTAATGTCTCTACATTTATGCCTTTTGAGAAAATGGGAGGTTTTTTTGATACTGCATTCTGAATGACCAAATAGTATATTTCTTATATATACATTTGGCCTTTTTCACAGTTCCTGGCTCACAGCTCCCAAAACCCTCAGAAGTTCCTAAGTGAAGAGAGATATAAAAATGTTTCTCTCTCTATCTCTCTCTCTCTTTCTGTTATGTTAATGAGGCTACTTTTGAACCCTACCAAAGGATGGGAGCTGGTGCTAGGAGAACCTACTTTGTGATTAGAAGGTTGGAACTTTTAGTTCCATCCCCCTGACCTCCAAGGAGGGGAGAGGAGATAAAAGGAGAGAGGCTGGAGGTCAGATCACTTGCCAGTGACCAGAGATTTAATCAATCATACCTGTCTAATGAAGCCTCTATAAAAATCCAAAAGAACAGTGTTTAGAGAACTTCCAGGTTGGTGAACATGTAGAGGTGCTAGGAGAGTGGCTTGCCTGGAGAGCTCACGGAAGCTCTGCACCCTTTCCGCATACCTTACCCTATGGTTCTCTTCATCTGGCGGTTCCTGAGTTATATCCTTTGATAATAAACTGGTAATCTAGTAAGTAAAATGTTTGAGTTTTATGAGCCATTCTAGCAAATTAAGTGACCCCAAGGAGGGAGTCATTGGAACCTCCAATCTGTAACCATTGGTTAGAAGCACAAGTGACACCTGGGCTTGTGACTGGCATCTGAAGTTTGTGGGAGGAAGGGGCAGTCTTATAGAACTGAGCCCTTAACCTGCAGGATCTGATGCTATGTCCAGGTAGATAGTGTCAGAATTGAACTGAATTATAAGATACGCAGCTGGTATCTGAGCATTGCTTGGTGGTGTGGAGAAAGTCCCCTTCATTCACTGGAATTGGCGATCAGAATCATTAGATACACAGAAATTTAATTCTTTAAGCATTGACTCTGTGCTTCTAACGTCACTCCTTTGAATTTATAGCAGTTATTTTTTTTTTATCATGCGTTTCAGTTTATGTATACAACCTTTAGATATCTTATACTTTCTTTACTATCATTTTGTATCTGTTGTTTCACTATATATGTGAAGTATCTTATAGCCCTAACATGAGTGGAGGCTTCTTAAAGCCATGGGCCCTCATCTTACATGTATATGCCTGTTTTATATTTCAAAGTATTCCCAAAAAATTGCTTCCTTAAGCAAATGGAGGAAAGTTTATCATATCCTCATTTGTCCACATTATGTTCCCATGATTTTAAGTTGAAAATTCAGACTCAGCCATTATCTCAGCACTAGATGGCACTTGTGGATCACAACTAGTCATACAACACCTAACAGTTTTTATGACAAGTGAATGATCCACAAATGTAATGTTTGGAATTCCTGCATGGACGTTCCTGAGAATAGGAAAATGAAACAGGAGGAGACCTACTAAGTACCAGTTGCTGTGAGGTATTTTTAAATACATGGTTGAAGAATATTTTAAATTCATAATCGTTATCTCATAGTAATATCAATAGATAGTCTGGTCTCCATCCATACCTTCTTAGCCTAATGTTGCCATAAAGTTGAAATTTGTTTCAGGACCTGTTTGCTATTCATTATGGCTAATTGTGAGAGAAATGAGTAATATAGCTCCTTAACACTGATTCATACCTAACTCTAAGCACTTATTCTTTTGTAGGATTTAAGAGAATGCATGGCTTTGGCTTTCTTATGAACCCTATAAATATCACGGAGGACACTGTAAGCATCTTCCTTTTACTGTTGAGAAAACAGAAGCGCAGAGATATTAATCTCCCCAGCATTAATAGCTAATAGGTAGACAGAACCTATATTCAAACTCAAGTCTGTTGGGGTTTAGAGCCCAGATGTGCTCTTTCCCTTACTCTGATGGTGCCAGGTTTAGCCAGTACCCATTCATGTTAAAGTAACTTGATGACTAGTGCAAATGACTGATGTTGGTTTCTTTCTCTTACAAGAGGTGTAACTCACCACCCAAAAACAACCCAATTAAAAAATGGGCCAAAGACGCGAACAGACATTTCTCCAAAGAAGACATACAGATGGCCAAACAGACACATGAAAATATGATCAACATCACTCATCATCAGAGAAATGCAGTTCAAAACTATAATGAGATATCACCTCACATCTGTCAGAGTAGCTAAAATCAAAAACAACAAGAAAGACCAGGTATTGGTGAGGATGTGGAGAAAAAGGAACCCTCATGCACTGTTGGTGGGAATGCAAACTGGTATAGCCACTGTGGAAAACAGTACAGAAGTTCTTTAAAAAGTTAAAAATAGAACTACCCTGTGATCCAGTAATTGCACTACTGGGTATTTACCCAAAAAATATGAAAAACTAATTCAAAGGGATACATGCCTCCCCCCCTAGGTTTATTGCAGCATTATTTACAATAGCCAAGATATGGAAGTAGCCTAAGTGTCTATCGACTGACAAATGGATAAAGATGATGTGGTGTGTGTACGTGTACACACACACACACACTGGAATATTATTCAGCCATAAAAAAGAATGAAATCTTGCCATTTGCAACAACCTGGATATCGCCAGAGAGTATTCTGCCAAGCTAATCAGTCAAAGACAAATACCATATGGTTTCACCCATATGTGGAATTTAAGAAACAAAACAAACGAACCAAGGAAAAATAAAAAGACAAACCAAGAAACAGACTCTTTTTTTTTTTTTTTTTTAAGATTTTTATTTATTTGACAGAGAGAGAGACAGCGAGATGGAACACAAGCAGGGGGAGTGGGAGAAGCAGGCTTCCCGCCGAGCAGGGAGCCAGATGCGGGGCTCGATCCCATGACCCTGGGATCATGACCTGAGCCGAAGGCAGACGCTTAACGACTGAGCCACCCAGGCGCCCCCAAGAAACATACTCTTAACTGTAGAGAACAAACATGGTTACCAGAGGGGATGGGTGAAATAGGTGACAGGGATTAAAGAGTACACTTACCATGATGAGCACTGAATAATGTGTAGGATTGTTGAATCACTATATTGTACACCTAAAACTAATATAACAGTGTATGTTAACTATTCTGGAATTAAAATTAAAAACTTAAAAAAATACTTAGAGATGACAAAATAAAATAGAGAAGAATGTGTTAATGCATGAAAAGTACATAGACTAGTACTGGTACATGGTTAACCATTTGGGTAGTTTTATACATTATTTAACATGAGAAATATCCATACTGCTTTGTGTAATGTATGAAATAGAATTTGAGCTATGGCTAGAGTAGCCATACATCCCAGTTTCAAGCTACTGTCCTGGTAGTTATTAGCACTTTCTTCTTACTCTAAAAAGAGTTCTGATGTAAATATAGCCAGCTTTGTTACAGAAGAGCTTTGTGCCCAGGGATTTGTTCTTGTAAGTTTGTCTAAAGTGAAAATTTCTCTGAGGAAAGATAACTGGTACTTTTCTGACATAGAATAGAGATATATGTGTGTATATTAGGATCCTTAACATTCTGGTGTTAAACTGTCTGGCATCAAACTGCTCTTTACTAATATAGCCTTGGACAAGTTAGTTTACTTTAAAACTAGGTTACTTTATCTGTAAAATAAGAATAGCATTAGTACCTATCTCCTGTGGTTGTGTAAATGAGGTAATGTATGTAAAGAGAGAGGTAGATATTTCACTTAAGGAAAAAACATTGACACAAAATACTTAGATACATTGGAAGCTGAAAAATTGGAGTAGATGACACTTAACTAAGATCCTTTACAGTGATAAAAATCTAATGATTTTGTTTTACAAGGATCAAAACTGTTCTTTTGTTGATTTTATTTTACGGCAAATTTCAAACATATGTGAAAGTAGAAAACATAGTGTGAGAGAGCAATGAACCCATGAGGTACCCATCACTTAGCTGTCAATAGTAATACAACATATGGCCAATCTTTACTTTAGAACTTTCAAAAATAACTTTAATGAGATATTTTACATATCATAAAATTCATTCACTTGACCTGTTTAGCCATTTGTACAAATTTACCAAGTTATGCAGCTATCACCATAAATCAGTTTTCAGACATTTTCATCCCCTTATTTAATATTCATCCTACCCATTTACAGTTAATCCCAGTTTTCACTGTCAGTACCAAGCAACCACTGATCTACTTTCTGTTTCTATGGATTTGCCTTTTCATGTCAATGGAATCATACAGTATGTGGTTTCTTATGTCTAGCTTCTTTCACTTAGCATAGTGTGTTCATCCACATTGTAGCATGTATCAATTAGTAGTTCATTTCTTTCTCTTGACAAATGTATTCTGTTGTATAGGTGATACCATGTTTTGTTTGCCTTCACAGTGGCCAGTCTTTTATCATCTGTATTTTTATCCTTTCACCTCCATTTCATACCCCTACTGAATTATTCAAAAGCTGTTTTTAAATAGCTTAAAAACATTGATTATATGTTCTTGCTTTTTATATTTATTTTCCCAAACATCATCTTTCTATCCTCTCCCTCATCTTGCCTGTTTTAATTTGTTTCCTTGCTCCAGGAGTCTTTGTTGTTTGTTGTTTGGTTTTACCTGACAGTGAAGAGCTGTCTAAACCATAAACTTTCAAAAAGATAGAAGTTCATTTCATTATTTCTTCACTTTAATGAAACTTTATACTTGCTCGGTGGCAAATCCAGATAGTGGTGATTTCTAAATCTTTTAATAAGTCTTTCACGTCGGCTTCAGTGTTTATATGTTGGGCAGGATCTATTTATTTCTGATTCTCATGGGTATTTTTGTTTTTTTGTTTTGTTTTAACTCAGGTTGTTGGAAGAGGAGCCTTTGGAGTGGTTTGCAAAGCTAAGTGGAGAGCAAAAGATGTTGCTATTAAACAAATAGAAAGTGAATCTGAGAGGAAAGCTTTTATTGTAGAGGTAAGTTGAATTGTTGTTTCTAATATATAATTCTTTACCTAAGATACTCTGTGAATTTAATATTATGAAAAAGTTGTTTCCCAGTTGTCATTTCTCTGTATACTTGAACCTCAGCAATTTGGTTGAACCAAAGATAATGCTGTAGAAACATTTTTCATTCACACTCTTAATTCTGATTAAAAATTGGGGGGGGGGAAGACTCTTAACTACATAAATGAATTCATCCCTGAATTAAAATACAGTCTCATCCGTGTAATTCAGATCTATTTCAAGGCATAGGATTTAAATTTTAAAATAGAAAGGAAATGGTATTCTCTCCCATTATCTAAAATTAAGAAGGGAAATTTTATGCATTCATTTTTGACTGAATATTTTTAGAAATTCAAATGAGATCACTTTACAGGGAAGTAATTTTAAATTTAATTTTTTTCTCATTTAGCATGAAAATCTAGAACTCTCTTCTCTTACAGATTTGATGATGAAGGAGAATTCAATAATCAATAGTAATTGTATTGTCAGATTTATTCTTTATTAATTTTATACTATTTTGTATATTAGATGACGGCAGTTCCTTAAATTTGTGGGTTTTTTTCCTCATTGGCCAGTGGATAAGTGGTCTTTACCTTACAAACCTTTCTGAATTTATATCTGTGATTGTATTTAATTATAACTTGCAAATATACTTTATGATATTTTTAAATGTATAATATGGAGAATGAAAACTTAGGATACGATAAAGTGGATTTTTATAATTAATTGAATGAGTTGAGAAATGCTGATAGTTTGGGGTCCTCATGAAGAAAAGATGATCTCTGGTACTGTGCTCCAAGAGTGGCCTCAGCCTTGCCTTATTCATGATTTTTGTTTATGGTTTAGATAAGGTCTAAAAGTGCATTGGCACTTTCACAAAACTAGCTAAAAGCATATGTGTTAAATGCTAAGAATTAGGAGTCAAAAAGATTATAATAGCTTGGATGAAAAAATTTTATCGAGGTTATATGTACAGGTAATTCAGATTCTCAAATAGTTCTCCACATAGTCTTATTTTAAAAACTTTAATCCCCTAGACCTCCTCCCATCGAGTTTTCTACTTCTCAGAGGCAACTACTTTGAGCTCATCCCTTAGTTTTGTTTGGTGTCCCCCAATCCAGAGACTCTTTGTTATATCAAAGAATCAACCTCTAATTGTTGGGATGATAAAGAGGCAGTCACTAAACTGAAGTCAGGAAGGGAGAGAATCTGGTCTGCCTTTCAGCTAATCTCTCTGTTCCTTTGTTGGCTTATTTGCATAGGTACCTGGTACTACCACCAGTCCCAACCCTTTGGAGGTTTTATGAGCTTAATCTAGTTTCTGCTCACTTCTTCTCATTTTTTTTAAGTCTGCTGTGTCAGTTATTGCTAGTCATTTGCTTTCCAACTTCCAAAAATGTGTGCTATTTTCTCATTTCACATTCTCTTTATTCTTCTGAATTTGTGCCTTGAAAAAATGCCTTTAATATCTTGGTGGGATTTGGGGAAGGAGCAGAAATAAATGCTTACATAAGCTGCTATCCGAACCTCAGTGCTAAACCTTTAGAAGATGAAATACAATAAATATATGTTTGTGTATAATAAATGAATATAATAAATAGTGATATTAATTGTTGTGTTAGGACTGAAAATACACAAATGTTCACTGTAGAGAAATACAGCTTTCTAGTAGCATATAGTAAAAAGGTTTACCTTAGTGGACTTCATATGAGCCAGCAGTATAGTGTGGATAATAGAGAAGAAGAGGAAGAGAGGGGAAAAGACAGAAAAGAGAGGAGAAGAAAGAGAGTAAGGTGCAGTTTGGAGGGACACATTAATAGAAGTTTCAAGTGTAGAGCAAGAGAGATACAGTACAGCCAAACCTCTCACTGACCTCGGTGTGATTCTTTGGATTGGGGAGGACTATTTGCATAAGTACCTGGTACTACCACAAGGAAGTAGGGAATACAGCTAGGAAAATACCCTAGTAATTACTGCAGCAGTTCATGTTGGAAGAATTACTAAGGCAGTGATCGTGGGAATGGACAGAAGGCAGTTAATTCAAGAGATGGGAGAAGGACGTAGAGAAGACAATACACATATGCAGAAAGAGTGCAGATTTTAAGTCAGATGGACCAAAGTTCAAAGCCTGGCGGTAGCTGTAGGATATTTAGCTGCTCACTTAACCCTCTCTGAGCCTTATCTTAAAGGTCCGTTTTTCTTAAAGGTAGAAATGACAATACCGCTCTTGCAGAGTTGTGAGAATTAAACAGAATCTATCAAGTGCCCACCAGGGCCTGGCAGAGTTAGGTAGACTGTGCAGCCATAGCTCTGAAGGTGATGACAGTGACATAGATTCTTCTGCCTTGGATAACTAAGTTCAGTGCCATCTCTGGGATGGTGTCCTAATGTTTCTTGTTAAAGTTTATTTTTTCTTATTTATACTTATCGTGGCTTGTTCATAACTCCTGTTACAGCACTTTGCATTTGGGCTTAATTATTTATTTACATGCCTGTCTCCCAAGTAAAGTGTGAGAGCTCTAGGGCAGGGAATCTTTGCCATTCTGGGCAGCCATTTATACCACAGTGCCTGCTACATAGGAAATAATGATTGTTGAATGATTAAACTGATGTTTTGTACACCCTGAAATTGTAATGATGTAATGTAATCAGTTCCTCAAAAGCTAGCATCTTTTAAAAGAAACCTTAATTTGTTACAGCTTCGACAGTTATCCCGTGTGAACCATCCTAATATTGTAAAGCTATATGGAGCCTGCTTGAATCCCGTAAGTTTGTCACTTTTTCATTGTCACCTCTTTATAAGCATTGACATAGTAAATGTTTGCAGGTGTGTAGTTTATGAAACTATTTTGATCTGTTATGTTATTTTTTTAAAAAATTAGATTTTATATATTTGTTTCTAGTCTGTTAGCAACACAGTGTATTGGAGGGGAGTTATCTTGGGAGGTCTTATCCAATAACCTCATCTTATGAGGCTTATGATGTTCTGCAACAGCATCTACTCAGCACTGAAGAAAGTTCTCAGAGGACTTGCAATTATGTTTTTACATACACCCCCACTCTTAGACAGTGGGCCCCTACAAGACAAGGCCTTAGATCATAGATCCCCTTCTTTTTCCGTTAGTACCATTCACATAGTGGGAACCAAAAGAATAATTTTTAATGCATTTATAAAATTAAAGATTGAACTCAGTTATCTCTCAAGTCACCTAAGATGTTACAGCCCTGTGGTTAATTATTATACTGACATATGTTTCTTTTAGGTGTGTCTTGTGATGGAATATGCTGAAGGGGGCTCTTTATATAATGGTGAGTGTCATTAGACCTGTCTTTATCTAGCAGAGTAAAATCATTGAAAAGCTTTTAATACACACCGTTAGTTACTTAATGTTCTTCACAGTTTACCTTCAGAATCTCAAAAGGAGGTAATTAAAAAAAAATCTAATAAAATTAGAAATGAAAAAATGAGATGCTACAACATTAGTATGTGAAATTTAGAAGTCTAAGTATATCAATCTTTTCAATTGATGGTACTTTTCATGATGTTAAAAGCATTTAAGTGAAGTAAAATTTGCTTTTTAAATAGATTTTAAAATCTCTTCATACTTTTAATGTTTTTCTTTTTGCCCTCTCTTAGCTTTGAGCCTCCTCATTTGAGAACTCTTTAGCCATACTTTCTTCCATTTCATTTTGCTTAAATTGCTGTCTTTACAAAAAATAAAATTGTGAAAACTCACTTCACAAAACATTTTAATTATAACAATGAAAGAAACTAGGTCATTTAGTTATTTTTATAGAACAGAACTAACTTTTTCACTCTTAAGAAACACCAGCCATAACGAACCATGAGAGAAGATGGACTCTGAAAAACAAACTGAGGGTTCTAGAGGGGAGGGGGGTGGGAGGATGTGTTGGCCTGGTGGTGGGTATTGAGGAGGGCACGTTCTGCATGGAGCACTGGGTGTTGTGCATGAACAATGAATCATGGAACACTTCATCTAGAACTAATGATGTAATGTATGGGGATTAACATAAGAATAAAAAAAAAAAAGATTCTAAAAAAAAAAAAAAAGAAAAAAAGAAACACCAGCCATATAGTAAATATATTAATTGTTGCCTTTATATGAAATAAATGGTTGCATTTTATTTTTTAAATTAACATTTTACTTAAATTTTTATTTATATTTACTGCTCATGTGTTCATCATTGTTAATGGGTATCTCTCATACTCCGTTGTCTTACTTGGTTGAACTATTTCTAGTTTTTAGCTATTGTAGAAAGCATAATTGTAAACATCTTGATACACTTTGTTTTATTTCTTTTTGTACTACTTCTCTGTATCTCTCCTACAGTAGCATGCCATCACATTGCTTATAATTTATATTATTGTGTGAAAGACTGTCAATGTGGAAAAGTGTGGTAATTCATATTAATTTTGCTAGAGTGTATGTATAACATTTAATAGAAGTACTATTACATTTTAGGTACTTATGTGGTAGTTACCCATTTGAAATTATTAGATATTTCCATCTTTGTATTTAGAAAAGAATTAAAAGCAGGACTGTTGGGAGCATGTGTAGAAAAATACCCAGTCATGTGTTCCAATAGTGCTCACATTCACCTTGTGTCTTTTGTTATATGCAATAAAGTTCTTTTTAGTTTGTGCCTTTCTTTTGCAGTGCTGCATGGTGCTGAACCATTGCCATATTACACTGCTGCCCATGCAATGAGTTGGTGTTTACAGTGTTCCCAAGGAGTGGCTTATCTTCACAGCATGCAACCCAAAGCTCTAATTCACAGGGACCTGAAACCACCAAAGTAAGTTCTAATAGTGTGGTGTCTATCTCTCTCTCCCCCACACCCCCCAGCCCCTCGCCCACTTCCTAATTCAAGCTAATTGTTGCACTTGACTTTCTCTTTTCTCTTCCCTTTTGGCTTGTTTGAGAGTGTTTATTTTTAACTCACCTTCATTATTTAGTCATTTATCTAAGCTTGCATTTTAAAATGTTGTCTTTAGTAGGATTTTAATTTTAGTCAGATTTTTATTTTAATAACTCCTGCTGTAGATTAGCATACTTCTACAATTGGTTAGCCTATAAATCTTATTTTGTGCCTGCTGTATATATTGTTGCCCCCAGACAGTTCCGTAAGAGCAGAAACAAATTTGTCTTATTCCCCACTATATTCCTAATAGCTAGTACAATGTCCACATGTAGTAGACATTCTTTACAGAATGGTTAAAATTTACAGAGTGGTTATTATTTGCCATTTTAGAGGAAGGCAAAAGGGTATTTCCGGCATCTGGGTAGAAATTGAAATATTCTGGATTTCCTCATATTAAGGATCCTAGGACTTTGAAAGAACTTCAAAACTTCCTAAATAAGTACTTTAAAAGGCTGAAACTTTGGGGGTTTTTTGTTTGCATAGGTACTCAATTAAAGGAAACATACATGTGGTATTGTCCCCTTTTCTCTCTGATTTTATTTCTTCTTTATCCACTTGTGACAGTAAAAAAAAAAAGTCCACATGCCATTCTCTCTCTCCCCACTCCCCCGTTACCACATTAGTCCTCATATAAGAAGTTTCCCGTAGGTAATCAGTCTCAAGTATTGCATTCTCTTGATACAGGTAGCTTTAAAGTATCCCTTCTGGGTACAACTTGTCACTCTCATGTGTAATCTGATACATTCTACATAGGTTTCAGCTCTTGGAATGACTGTTCTCACTAGTGTACCTTATTTCTACTCTCAGGCTTAAACTGATTTCTCTTTCCCCAGGTCCCTGGTCAAATAATGTTTAAGACCCAGATTCATAACACTTTTATTTTTTTAACTTGGCTCCTTGAGGCTATTGCCTTAGCTACCTATCTTGGCTAGTGAAGAAGAAATCACTTTGTCTTTTTTTCCTTTTTATGAAGATTCAGTCCTCTTTTGCTCCTCTTAATAACACACAGCTGAATTATCAAAACAAATTCATGAGAATCATAGCTCTTATCCAGCAACAAATTGACCAGTAGCATCAGGTACAAAGCATCTTTTTCCTGGAAGAGCCAGAAACTATCAGATGGGACTCTCAGAAGTATCCTTTTTCTTCTGCATTATGTCATATCTTGGCTTTGGAATAACTGACTATTGTTAAACAATATACATGAAAATATCTCACAAAAGGAGGTCTTTTGAGTTTTCCAACATCTTTTCTATTCATAATTATACAACTAAAATGACTACCTTCATTCTCCCTCTACCCATACCCCATAAATCCATAAATATTAGATTTACTTAACCAACCTACTTGGACCAGTTATGTCCTACTAAAATCATTTGTAGATACAGACTCTTCCTTTTGCTAATAAATACCATCAGTATATTTACAGAAAGTCTGGCTTAGGTCATTCATTCCTCTTGGGCATCCTTATGGTTGCACCCATCCTATAGTATTGCAGATTGTTTTGGGGACATCCAGTATACAAACTGGGCTTTAGAGTTAGAATTGATTTTTCAGAATGTACTGGAAAAAAGAAAATTCTTTGAAATGACTATGTTTTCATATATAATTATATATATACAAGCACACGTATTATGTTATTGTCACTAGAAAACCTGTGGATTCTGTGGTCAGGAAGAATTCCTCATAGTGGCATATAAAGAAGGCACCTGATGATTTGGTTGGGTGTTTTACATAATATCAACTTGTGCTTGTGCCCCTATTTTATTCATCTTTTGCAGGTTCATTCGCATGTACTTCGGAAATAAAAGTGTGTTTTTGGTCCCAGCCTTGTGAACGTAAGCCTACAAAGATCATTTAGGTTCATATTTCAGTGAGCCTTAAATGTCATGCTCATGGCTGGTGACCTATTAAAATCTTAGTGAAGGAGTACTAATTATGAAATAGTAATAATATAAAAGTCATTCAGAAAATTATCTTGAATCTACCAGGATGAAACAAGGAAAACCAGTTACAGTTCTTTTCTTGGGTAAAGAGTAGTTAGAGCTGGAACAAGAACAGTAAAACAGGAAATTTTTTGTTGAAGTGCATATAAAGGTAAATTGCATTTAGCATTCTTTACACTTTTTTTTTTTTTTTAAGATTTTATTTATTTATTTGACAGAGACAGACAGCGAGAGAGGGAACACAGGCAGGGGGAGTGGGAGAGGGAAAAGCAGACTTTTCAGGGAGCCCGATGCGGGGCTGAGCAGGGAGCCCAATGCAGGGCTCGATCCCAGGATCCTGGGATCATGACCTGAGCCGAAGGCAGACGCTTAACGACTGAGCCACCCAGATGGCCCTAGCATTCTTTCCACTTCAGTTATCATAGGAGTATTTGTCACATTATGGAGATGTGTATAGCAGTTTATCTGGTTTATCCTAGTCATGTTGGACTAAAAAGAAACAAATTTCTAAATAATCTCTCCAGTTAGCATTTTAGTATAAAATTATATACAAAGAATTTATTAAAATTTTAATTTCAGTGGACCCCATATACCGCTGTTGAATATTACTACAGTGTGATGGTACAACTTATCTTTATTTCTGTTTGTCATCAAGAGGAAAACCTAAATAAGGGTATAATACTTGGTGATTGTAAGGACTATTTTTTTCCTTCTTCCTTATAGGTTTATTTTACTTTTTTTAATTATATGTTGTTTTCAAATAATATATGTTCGTGATTAAAAACAAATTCAAATAGTTAGAAAAATATAAAGCAAGTCTTCCCTGCCTCCTATTCCTCAAAGGTAACCACTATTTTGTTTTGTTTTTTAACCATGTATGGGTTATACTGTATATAATGTTGCTTTTTTTTCACTTACATGGACATCTTTTCATATCACTGCATTCAAATACTTACCTCTTTATTTTTTTAACCTCTTTATTTTTAATAGATAAATAATACTCCCTATTACCTGTTAAGTAAGTACTTGAAACTATTCTTGGTCTTACAAGCAATCTTAGACTTGGAAGACTTGATTTATAGAGCTGTTTTTAGAAAATACAATGCTACTGAATCATTTTATGTTTCGAGAATCTGAAAAGTTTTTAATGCCCTAAGTTGGTGCTTCTCAAACTTTCCTACCCCCCAGAACAAAGTTATGATATAATACAACCTCAGCAGTTCTAAGAAGGTACAGAGCCCAAATAACCCTCCTTTAGGAATGTTGCATGTAAATTTTGCATTCAACTTCATATATTATGTAATTTGTTTTAAAGTCAATGTTAAGATGTTGAAAATACTTAAAACTTAGTAAAAGTGATGGCCCAGGGAGAACTGCTAGCTTTAACCTAGGACTCTGTAGGCTTCCTGCCACTTATCCTGGCATACACTGATACAGTGCCAAGGTTTCATAACCTAGTTTGAAAAGCACATAAAGTTAAGCCATGCTATCTATGCATTTAAATCCTAACAATATGTGTTTGTTGGTAGAGATTGTATAGAAATGTGGCTTTGATTCTTAGGCTCACATGATAAGAATTTTGACACTCAGCATTATGGCGAACCAGATCAACTGAAAAACCATCCTACAACAAACACCCAGAGATACTGCATATGACAACAAATATCCTTTTACATGATTAGGTGATTTTACAAGAAAATAAGGGAAATCACCAGGGCAAAAAAATGGAAAGCACTGAATCCTGAGAGAATTTAATCCAAGCATGGAAGCTAAGGGACTCTACTGTCTTTATCAAAAATGTAGAGCCCCCATGTTAATGGCTCTTGTGTAATTGGAGATAGGTCCTTTGTTCTGCACCAGGTGAAGTAGCAGAACTGAGATCTCCATAAATTTAGGATCCCTGGAGGGAACAACTTAAAAGTGGGCTAGAGGGGCACCTGGGTGGCTCAGATGGTTAAGTGTCTGCCTTCCGCTCAGGTCATGATCCCAGGGGCCTGGGATCGAGCCCTGCATCAGGCTCCCTGCTCAGTGCAGAGCCTGCTTATCCCTCTCCCTCTGCTTGTGCTCTCTGGCTCTCTCTCTCTCTCTCTCTCTGTCAAATAAATAAAATCTTTAAAAAAAAAGTGGGCTAGAAACATTATCAGTTTTCTGACTTGGCAAAATTTATTTCTTAACAGAGGCCTCCCCACATGTTGTTGTGAGTTTGAATTTGCCCTACTTGCACAATCAAGAAAAATCCCAACAAAACAGATTAAAAAGGTTTGGGATTGGTAGGGTCCCAGGGCATCTAATAGTAAGTGAAACTCCATTTTAAAGTCCTGTGTTTTCAGTTCAGGCCTTTCATTATTCCAGATTAAAATCAATCAGATAGAAAGCCACAATAAAAATTACCACATCCGTAAGGGTCCAAGTTACCATGAGTAAAAGTCAGCAGAAATAACACAAAGCAGAATTAAGCCCTCAAATATTAAGACTCCCGTTATTTGGAATTATCAATATGGAATATAATGTAAATATGCTTATATTATTTACTAAAAAGAAGAATTAAAATGTGCAAGGAATAAACTATTTAAAATGACCAAAAGAATGAAATACAACATTTAGGAATAATTAAAAATTTTATTAACAGCAGATCTGAAATAGGTGACAAGAGAATTGGTGAGCTGTGAGATAGATCTGTAGTTACCCAGAATGCAACACAAACAAATAAATGAGAAAAATGATAGGTTAAGGATCACAGGGAAAGGAAAGACAGGACAGACAACACAGAACTCCAGTAGAAGAAAATAGGATGGAGAGAGTTTATAATTCAAGAGGGATTGGCCAGGGATTTTCTGAACAAAGGTATGATTTCTAAACAGGATAAATGAAAAGAAGTCTACCCTATGACACACCTTAGGATACAGAACAACAAAAACAAAAGGGAGATTTTTAAATCAGCTAATCAGAAAAGAGATTATCTACAAAGGATTGACAGACTGAAGTATAGTTTCCAGCACCATTAGTGGAAGCTAGAAAACTGGAATCATAACTTCACAGAGCTGAGAGAAAATAGTGTACTGGCCCTAAATTAGTTTTTAAGGAGGAGGGTGTGAGTTAAAGATGTTTTGAAACAAAACCCAAGAGAATTCACTATAAATGGACCTTAATTGAAGGTATTTGGGGAAGAAAGAAAATGATTATATAAGACAAGTATAAGATTCAAGAAGGAATGGTGAAACAAAATAAACATACATTAAAATAAATGTTGGCTATATAAAACAAAAATCCTTTTTGCGTGTAAGAGAAGGTGGTTGAAGGGGATTCAAAATAAAGAATTATTTCTACTTGTTTACAGAAAACAAGTAGAATTACTTCTACTTGTTTACACATGACTGTAAGCTTTTTAGGTAATCATATAGAAAGTGTTTTATGCATTTATTTTTAAATGTTTAATTAACTCTTTAATAAGCCAATAAAATTGTCTTTTACTTTCATAGTTCTTTTTACACTTTTAAAATGCCTTATATTGATTTCAGTTTTTATAGGAGTAATAAGTTACATTGGGATATAAAAAACTAAGACTCTGAGTATCAGTTTCTTTAAAGGAATCATAATAGGAATATTAGTTGTTTTAACACCAGCTGCTGTAGCTAATACTGGGCTTATCACAGTAGAAATTTATTGCTCATGCATGTGAAATCCAAAACAGGTGTTCCTGTTTGGCAGATGATCTTCCATATTGTCATTCAGGGACCCAGTTAAGCTCCCTCCGTCTTGTACTTCTGCCATCCTCCAGGACTTTGGGAACTTACGTATTCAGCCAGCAGATAAAGAGAATGGAGATCACATACGAGAGGTTTTTTGAGCCAGGCCTAGAAGTGCCCCTCCCGCTACCCACATATCAGTGGCCACAACTCAGTCTTAGGTATAATTACCTACAAGACAGGTTGGGAAATGTCTTGTATGCCCCAGAGGAAGAAGGGGATGGCTTTTATGAGCAACTGGCCAGTCCCAGTCACCCAGAGTATTTACTACTCTAACCACAGGTTAGAACCACACACTGCTCTTTGCCAGTTAAACATCCCCCAAGGCTCTTGTAGTCACCATCCAGTTCACCATCCAGGATGAACATCTCAGGATGACATGTGGTCCTTCAGCTGGTCTGGATGTGGCCTCTCATAGTTTGGAAACAAATGAATTAAAAGGACAAGTTATCTGTCACCTCTCTCCCAAGTCACACAATACATAATAGCAGAAAGACAGGACAATCAGTGAAAGTTTCCACTGGGAACAGGGAAGCATGGAGGCATACAGCAGTTACTAGTCTGTAGGGTTGACTTCTTGGCATTGTCTGGTCCCTCTGCCCTGGATTTATGAGAGGGGTCTTGATCAGACCTTCCTTTGGCCCTTGAAAAGGAACTCCCTTATCCATTGCTCATGACTCTAAGCTTCACCCTTTTGTAGGTTTCTCTTTGTGCATTCTTCATACCATGTCAGATGTGGGTATTGGCATATACTCTCCTCCGAAGCTGTGCGGTTTTCACAGCTGCACCTTGCTTAGGTAGATCTGGGGTCCTGAGGATTGTTGTAAGACTCAAAACAGTCAAAAGTCTTTTAATTAGAAATTTGTGGTTCCTTTGGCAATATTAATTTCCTCAAAAGTAGGCTTGTGATCTCCCTGGTTCCAGTCAGTTTCATGTGCCTGTGACCATTACCAGAATTCATTCTTAGACAAAATCTTGAACCTGGTTTATTTGATTTCTGGCCACATTGCCTTTTCTCAACTGAACAGAGGCACCGTGAAATCATCAAGTGTAGGTGGGAAGTACTTTCTCTTAATTTGTTCTTTGGTGCAGTACTGAGTCTTAAGGGCCTTTGTCAGTCTTATTTCCTGCTATTTGGTGTTTAGAAGCAGTCAGTTTTTCCAGTCCTTCAAGACCACAAATTATCATGGGAGACAAATTTTACCAGATGTTTTGCCATGTCATTACATGGATCTCTATCTTTCCAGCCTCCAGTTTTAGCGTTCTTGTTCCCTACTGCTAAGCTGCTAAGCTAATATCAAATATATTAGATTTTTGTTATAACAGCATCCACTTCTATACCAATTTCTTACATTGGTTAGAGTGGCAGTATTATAATAGGTAAGCTCTGAAATCTCATGGCTTTACAAAATACAAGTTTATTTTTTTTACTCATATGAAGTCCAATTTTTTACTCATATGAAGTCCATTTTTTTACTCATATGAGTTTCTCACATGGTGGCTCAGGATCCCAGGCTCCTTGTAGTTTCAAAATCCTCTGCATTCAGTGGCATATGAGGAAAGGAAAAGGAATATATGTATGTGGGAGATTTTTATGACCAGGCTTGAAAGTGAAGTACATCACTTCTACCTACAACCCATTGGCTAGAATGGTCATATAGCCATCTAACTACTCAGAAGTCTGGAAAGGGTAATCTTTTATGCCCAGGAGGGAAAGGAAATGGGGTCAGTGAACAGCTAACCAGTCTGGCAACAGTAGCCTAAAGACTTATCTCTGTTCACCATAAGGTTAATAAGAACAAAACAGATTTGCAAACATTTGGACCATGATCCACAATAAGAAATACTTCACAGTCTATCATGTGTGCATATTAATGTGTATAAAACTGAAACAACATACATCAAACAGTATTTAATTTTACTAATTGTGATGCACTTTGATATTTTCTATTCTATTTTTTTTAAATGTTGTTATAGTCTACTGAATGAGTTTTGCGACTTAGGTTTCCAGATCTCTGATCTAGATTTTTATGATTTAAATTTTATGACTAGGTTTCTGCCTGCAGCTTGAAAAACACTGCAATAGGTAGATTGAGTTTAGGGGACAAGTGATTTACGAAGGTATTGATATCCATTTACTTCCATTTTAGGACACGTAATGTTGACCTACTAGGACTTTTTTAAACCCTATGTTTTATTTTGGCCCAGGGAGATGTATGGTCAGGAAAGATTATGGAGATAGAGATGGAGACATCAAAATGTGGATCTAGCAGTCTCCCTAAGAGAACTAGGTTAAGGTCATTTATTTTTTGCTAATATTCCTGTGAACCATTGAGCTATTTGGGTGACCAGGAAGCATTTGACAAAAGTTGAATGATGACATTTTGCTTAACCACAAATGTCTCTTCTTTTATTGTAGATATCAAGTATTGGTCTTACAACCTTTGTTTTTGTTTTTTGTAAATAGCTTGCTGCTGGTTGCAGGCGGGACAGTATTAAAAATCTGTGACTTTGGTACAGCCTGTGATATTCAGACTCATATGACCAATAACAAGGGGAGTGCTGCTTGGATGGCACCTGAAGTTTTTGAAGGTAAATGACAAAAGCATGTTGTGATTGATAATCTGCCTTCTTAACTCCATGTACATCCAGTGTGTGTTTATGGCTTTATCCTGTTTCAGTGGTTTTATTTCTGCATAGTACATATTAGAAAAAGGATATACAGTTGACCCTTGAACAATGCTGAGGTTAGTGGAGCTGACTGTACCATGCAGTTGGAAATCCACATGTAACTTTTGACTCCCCCAAACCTAACTACTAATAGACAACTGTTGACCAGAAGCATTAGTGATAGCATAAACGATCTTTTAACACATATTTTATAGATGTATTACTGTATTCTTACAATAAAATAAACTGAAAAAAAATGTTATTAAGAAAATAGTAAGGGAACTACATTTATAGTATTGTACTGTATTTCTCAAAAAAAAAATGTGCATTTAAGTGGACCTCTGCATTTCAAATCAATATTTACAGGTCAACTGTATTAAAGTCTAATAAGGAGGTAGGAAATAAGTACAGCCCTAGACTTAAATCTCATAGCAGGATTTGTATTGTGTCACATAGCAGTGTCCTATGCAAGTTCAAGTGTATGTACAATCAAGCCTTATTTTCATATTCCACCTATTACAGCTGTAAAACGTGCCTATTTTTGACCCTAAAATCAGTATTCATGGTGCTTTCATAGTTATTTGCAGGCATGTACAGAGCAGAGGAAAATTTTGAGTCATCCAACACATGTTCCCAGCTGAGGAACAAGACAACACACTGCCTTCTTATTTCAGCTCTCATACTATGTCATTTTAATGATCTACTTAGTGCCGTGTTTGTTTGTTTTTCACTTTTTATGGGCTTTTTGTTGGTGATTTCACTGTTTAAGATGGTCTCCAAGGGCAGCATTGAAGTGCTTTCTAGTGTTCCTAAGTATAACAAGACTGTGATATATCTTAACAGAGAAAATACATGTGCTAGCTAATCTTTATTCAAGCATGAGTTATAGTGGTGTTCCATGAGTTCAATGTTAATGACCCTATAATATATATTAAATAAGGTGTCTTAAACAGAAACACATATAAAACAAGGTTATGTACTGATCAGTTGACACTAAGAGGTTCACAGGAACATAACCCTGATTGCCCCTACGAGCAAATGACTCTGCATTCACTAGTCCAGTCTTCACAGAAACTTTATAGAACATAAATACCAAGAATAACTGTGCTTTGTATTGGTTTCCTAGCAATTAAAAATTGACAGTGTAAATGAGCATGCCTTAGAAGGAATGCAAGTTATTTGGCAGGAATACAATACTAAGAAAGACAAAGGATAAGCTTATGTTTAATTTTTTTTACATCTCCATATCTCATTCAAGTTCTAAAAGAATGATCCACAAATTTCATAATAGGTTTCTATATGAAAACATCAAATTATCTTTTAAATGAGAAAAGTTGAACTGAAGATGTGTGATTTGTATGTTAGGAAGTATGACTGTCCATAAAATTCAGATATGTTTAGTAATCAGATTCTGATGATGGCTTATTTCTTTTATTTTTGATGAATTTAAAGTTTTTTTGTTTCTTTGTTTTTAGCCACCTGCAAGAAAAATTTGCCATGCAGTTGGTTACTTGAGTGGAGCTGTTTTGCCATAAAATTCAATTAAAAAATGAATGAAACCAGCAAATGTTAAATTATACAAAATTAAATAATGCTCCTGTTTTTAAGTTCATATACAGAATACATTGGTTTAAAACTATTTGTTTTTTTTTAAGATTTTATTTGACAGAGAGAGAGTGCGTGCGTGCACGCACAAGCAGGGGGAGTGGCAGGCAGAGGGAGAATCAGGCTCCCCATGGAGCAGGGAGCCTGATGTGGGACTCGATCCCAGAACCATGGGATGGTGACCTGAGCTGGTCAGACACTTAACCGACTGAGCCACCCAGGCACCCCTAAAACAATTCATTTAAAATGCCTCTCTGTGAGTCAAAATCACATAGTATTACTGTAGTGTAAAGAGCAAAAAGATTTATTTTATACAAAAGAGGCCAGAAATAAAGGTTACTTTTAAAATTTAGAGTAATAAAGTTCATACTATAAGACTATGCAATTTCTTCATTTCTGAAAGATGTCAGCCCCTATAACCCAAATTCGATTGTAATATCATTTTCATGCTTACAGTGCACTGCTTAGTGCCTGTGTGGTACACATGCTAAGTACATGTGTGATTATCACTATAATCATTCATACAGTGGGTTTTGGGGGTTTGGGGGTTTTTTTTGGCTCTTTATTGTACTGATTCACCCAATTTAGTGATCCTGTAAATTTTGCAGCATAATTTGTTTACTGTAAATTTGTTATCCATAATTTTCATTGCTTACAACTTTTAAGTTTGCAAATTAAGAATTTTTTTTTTTTAAAGATTTTATTTATTTATTTGACAGAGAGACACAGCGAGAGAGGGAACACAAGCAGGGGGAGTGGGAGAGGGGTGAAGCAGGCCTCCCGCGGAGCAGGGAGCCTGATGCGGGGCTCGATCCCAGGATCCTGGGATCATGACCTGAGCCGAAGGCAGACGCTTAACGACTGAGCCACCCAGGCACCCCGCAAATTAAGAATTTTATCTTGCCAGATATTGAAAGTCTTGTCATTAAATTAGAAATCTCTTCTGCTGTGATAGTAGAGTAGTTCTATCAAGAGAATGAATGGGGGAAGAAAATTTAAGATTTAAAAATCACAGAAAGGGAAGTACAAATGTTTCATATTCTGCCCCATGGAAAGTTAAGTCAGAATAAATAAAAGAGAAATCCTGTGCCTCTCGACGAAAAGGTAGAAAATGACCGACTTTCTAAAGTTAATCATTAATACTTAATTCATAAATAAGTGTTTTGTTGCAGAGACTTAAGGTACTTTAGAAAGTAATTTCTTGGGCGCCTGGGTGGCTCAGTTGGTTAAGCAACTGCCTTCGGCTCAGGTCATGATCCCAGGGTCCTGGGATCGAGTCCCACATCGGGCTCCCGGCTCGGCAGGAAGCCTGCTTCTCCCTCTCCCACTCCCCCTGCTTGTGTTCCTGCTCTCGCTGTCTCTGTCTCTGTCAAATAAATAAATAAAATCTTTAAAAAAAAAAAAAAAAGAAAGTAATTTCTCAGCTCTACATGCTGTATCTTCCTGTTTTTATACACAGTGCTCATTCTTAAAAATTTATATAGGCATTTGTTCCTGTAATTCATGTGGAAAAGAATCTTAAAATTATACCACCTTTTTCTCTAGGTAGCAATTACAGTGAAAAATGTGATGTCTTCAGCTGGGGTATTATCCTTTGGGAAGTAATAACACGTCGGAAACCCTTTGATGAGATTGGTGGCCCAGCTTTCCGTATTATGTGGGCTGTTCATAACGGTTCGTAAAAAGAAATTTTTCTTTAATATATTTTCTGTATTTTCTGTCTGGACAATTGTATCTACCTTAAACAAGACCATTTATCCCTAACATTAAAATGTCCAGTTCTTTGTTACCAGAATACTTTGCTGTCATCAATCACCTACCCTCCCCCCTCGCCCCCAAAATCAGGTAGGGCAGGGCTGAGAGTGGTCCTGTCGTTTGCCCAAGGCTGAGGAGGTCTGCTGATCCTGCTAGTTAGGGAAAGGCCATCAGTAGACAGCCAGAGCCAACTACCTAGGTTGGCTTTCTCTAGGGGATAGAGAAGCCTCAGATTGGACTCCGTGGAGAAAATAAAATTTAAAAAATAAATAAAATCTTTCTCAAGGTTCTTAAGGTTAATTGAGGAGGTATAGCCTTTTCTCCTGAGGGAGCAAATAATAAGAAGAATTGTTAGTTCAGCTATTTATAAAGGCAAAACACAGAGTGCTTCACATATGCTTTCTTTTTATCTTTTCATTCATCCTTATAAGGGGTATACTGTTGTTGCTTCATTTAACAATTTTACAGAAACCGAGACTTAGAGAGGGAAAGGAAGTTGTCCAAGGTCATCAGATTAGTAAGTGGTATTGCTGGGATTCCCATCCAGATCTTTCTGACTCCCAGTGTCCATATTTTTAAGTTATATTGACTTACGAACTGAATGTCCTTTATCCCTCCTGCTTCTTTTAAACATGTAGTTGTATGTTTCTAACCACTCAGGATGTTAGAATACATGTTCTTCATTAATCAAGTTATTTCACATTTGATTTGGGAAAATAAACTCTTCATGGAGGGAAATTGCTTAACCTTCCTAATTTTTATATCATTCTCTATTATTTAATTTCTATCAGTTGGTTATAATCATTCTGATTATGGCATTTTAATACACTATTCCACAGATCATACAAATACCTGCCTAACTAGGTGATTCATAGACTTGTCAAACAGTCCCATCATCTGAGTAATCCTAAGTGGTTTTTTTTGTTTGTTTCCTGTACTACCTTTCATTTTACTACCTTTAATGTCATTGTAGAGAATGCTAGAGCATTGACTAAGACAGTGTGTTTTGTTTTTCTGTCAATTGTCAGTAAATAATCGACTGTTAGTGAAGTACAAAATAAAAGAACTAACTTGTTAGTTGGTAGAATTACAAAGATTTCATTATATTTGAGGCTTTCTTTAAGTTAGGGACCTCACTATATTAGTCTTGTTAATTACACAAAAGTTGACAGTTTTCAGTTGGGGAAGTGATGGATTCACAGCAGCCAAAAAGGTCTGCCATTGACAAAAGAGTCATTTAGAGGTCAGTGAGTATAACACCATAGTTGGTGACTTTTCCAATATGGAAGGTGATTCTTCAAATACATTTGAAATTTTTACAGTGAATCTGAAAATCTAGTTCAAGTAAGATTACCTCAGACCATCATTTTATTTTACTTAATAAAGCACCCACTAAGCCATTATTATTTGTTAAAAGAACAATGTTTAGAACAAATGAGATACTATTTCTCAGTCTTATTTTTACTATAATGAATATAAAAATTTTAATTTGACTTCGCAAAAGGTGTAACCATCCCCTTTATGAAAATGTAATGTAAACCTAATAGACCAAAAAAAAGTACTTTTATTATTCCAAAATAAATCTTAAATTACAAGATCTATAAAATAAATACTGTATTGGAAATACATATAAAAAGCTTACACCATTCTTTGGGTAAATACATTCTTTCCCCCCCTCCTCTAATTTTCAATTATAGGTACTCGACCACCACTGATCAAAAATTTACCTAAGCCCATTGAGAGCCTGATGACTCGTTGTTGGTCTAAAGATCCTTCTCAGCGCCCTTCAATGGAGGAAATTGTGAAAATAATGACTCACTTGATGCGGGTATAATCCTTCTTTTGAGGGGCTTTGGATTTAGGGGAATTTGATATATACTGAGTTTGAATGGGGTTTTAAAGTGAAAAGACATTATTGCTATTTTTTGCTTTATACTTTTCTGTGTTGTCCTAATTAGAGTGGGCATTTATTACTCATAATCAGAGGAGGAAACGTTATTTTGGGGGGTAAAATCTAGTTCTTTAGAATGGAAAGATAGCTAGACAAGGTTTCTGAACTTGCTTTTTCCTCCTGCTTAACTTAGTGGACAGATGTGTTTTGGAGCCTGTTGCCCCATCTGTAATGTGAGAGAAGCTAAATTAGATGTCTTTATACAGGACTTAGGTATTTTCTGACTCTAATACTTGCCAAACTAAATTTTAAATTTTCTTGAGTACAGATCTTCATCAGGCAGTCATTTATGCAAGGCAATAGAATGGTTGTATTCCCAGACACGTTTATTTAATGATTTTTACCTTCTGTTGTTTCACTGCATATTTTTAGCTTTTTATTTACCATTAAAAAGTTAAACTTCTAGGATTTATAGATAGAATTTTTTAATTTAGAAAAACCCTTTCAAATGATTATCAAAATTTCTTAGTCTATAAACAAACACTTTTAGAATTATTTGAATAATTTTTTTAAATTTTTTTGTTATGTTAATTTTAGGCTTCTAGTTTTTGGTGCATTAACAAAATCTCCCAAGTGGTACTTTGACTTTAAAAGTTCACATACTTATGAAAGTGCATGAACTTTAGAACAGTAGAACAGTTTTGCTCAGTAGAAGAACCTTTCAGTCTCCTTAAATATAGACTTCCTAAATGGCCAAAGATTTGTTTATTCTATTGAAAATTACTTAGGGAAACCAAGATTGAACTAATCTGATTAAAACTTACCATCATATGTGGGTACCAGCTATATTTAGAATCCTAGGCCCTAAAGATGTGCCCATAAGAAAACAACTTAGTCTCCATAGTGAGATACCCTAAAACATTGGGATATATAAATTGTTCAAATTATAATTATACTTATATGTGCTTTGTCTGATTTGAAAAGAAATCCTTTATTTTTTTCCCTAAATTCTAATTTTTGTCCAGCAAAAGTTTCCAATATTGTATCTCCGTTTTATAGAGGAACAGCCATAATCTATCTTTGATATTCAAAATATTGGTTCTAACAATTATTCTATGGCATACCAGGCTCAGTTGTCAGACTGACAATAATTTCTGCAATTTGGAAGTTTGTATCAGTGCTATGAGAACATAAATCCATTTTACATAATTACAAGGAATACTATTATATTTGATCCTCTAGAAAAATAAAGCTGTTTTCTTGAGGACTATCTAGGCTCTGTGTAAAATAGATACTTAAGTACATACACAGCATTGATCACAGTTGAAATTTAAGAGTAGCACATTATCATCATCTTTGTAAAATCAAAAACTTAAGGCATCTGTGAATTGTGTAAGACTGATGAATCACACAGACCTGTACCTCTGAAACAAATAATACATTGTATGTTAAAAAAAAAAAAAAAAAAGATAGTAGGAAAGGAAAAATGAAGGTGGGGAGAATAGGAGGGGGAGACGAACCATGAGAGACTATGGACTCTAAGAAACAAACTGAGGGTTCTAGAGGGGAGGGGGGTGGGGGG